AAATACGATGAACAGTAGAAAATCGATTCCAATCTGGATTAGTGTGAAATGGACGACACGAGATGAATGGTGAAAGTAGGATTCACTCTTTTATAGGAAGTAGGAAAAATGGAGCAACACAGTTGTATTTGAATACTAAACATGCAAAAGTAGTAGAAGCAATATTAAGTTTTACATAACTACTTACAGTAAAATGGAATAAACGGTAAAAGAAGAGCTCAAATTTTTGTGCTGGAAGACCAAACCTTGAGGATTTCTTATTTGTACAAGCTGAAGAGGACGAAGATAGAGTGAAATAAATTTCTTGCTGGAGAGGACGATGATGGAGTGAAATAAATTTTTGTTGCTATTTACTTCTCCAATACATGAAAGAAGATATTTCAAAAATATTAATCGACTACAAAAATACAAAAACATTCATGGACAACCGACTACAAAAACATTAATTGAAGTATTACAAAGTCAACNCAAAAACATTCATGGACAACCGACTACAAAATCATTAATTGAAGTATTACAAAGTCAACTAAATACGCTAGTTCACTGTAGGCTACTATAGCGAAACCAGATATGAAGTGATCAAATGTGAAACCTCATGTGCAAAAATGAATAGTGATCGATCATCCTCTCTTTTAATAGAGTAGTGATTTGAAGTACTTCAACTTCTTCTGGAATTATTAGAGTATTTATTTCTTATGGTCTCTACAAGACCATTTCTTCAATAGGATCATCTTAGCCTCTATTTAATTCAACAAAAATAATAATAAATAAAATTTAAGACAAAGTCAACGATTAATTTTAAACACGTATTTTATGGAACCCACACATTTTCAACAGCACATTCGATCAACTTTTATCAAAATCTAATTCAATACTAAACAAACAGGGGCTTAATTTTATTTTTTCTTCGTTTAGGGACTTTTTGTCTTCAAATTTGATTTGTCTCTTCTTGCACGTGTTAGATTTACTAACTTCACTAATTATAAACTGTTCAAGTGAAATATCAATATGTAACTCTGCTATTATTGCATTTGTCAATTGATTTGCCATTATTGAATTCTTTTGGTTCACGTTGCCTTGTTCGAGGATAACAATGATGCCATTTATGTAATTTCTTTTCCATTTTATTTAATTTCTCCACCAAATGTTTATAATTGTCTTATAAACAATTATAGTCAGCAAAATATTACTTGGCCAATAATTATTTTGTATAGGAGGGATGTAAATCCAAGACATATTCCAACCATTGTTTGAAAAAATAACCAATTTTGATAGCAAATCATCAAACAAAAATATATATGAAATTCTCATGAGAAATATTATAGCAATTTCTCACACAAACTTCAAGTTGTGAGTGGGTAATAGACTCACTTGTAATCATTGAGGAGATGCATCTTTCAAAATCATAAAATTTCTGGTCACAAAATTATATTTTTCATTCAAATTTTTTAAAATAAAATTTATAATATTGTTAGGGTCGATAATAAGTGTAATACATTTATTTGAATTAAAACTTATTACTATAGTCGATTGTTCAAAACATATAATATTGAGATGAATTAATAAACATGTAATTTTTTTTTCAAAATTGTGAGAGTTATCATTCAATAACTTTTATCAACATTAAATAATTGTTTTATATATTATGAAGTTAATTTATTAACAAATTTGTATGGTTGGAGTACACATGATCAAGGAAGTTTACACAGGAAAACTTTTAGCCACATAAAAATATATAAAATTAACAGAGGACACAACAATATTAAACGTAACAAAAAATTTCATGCATTAAAAAAACACAACTTTACGTTTATGAAATTCTTATTTGAGTCTTCTTCAAGGAGTTGATGGCCTCTTTTGTAATCAAGGGTGATGGCCCACAGAAATGATCAAGGAGCGTCTTCATGTCTTCTCGATAGTGAACAAAGTCCTCAATCAATTATGTTGCTCGCCTTCAGTCTCACAAAAGATATATATTTTGCTCCCATTTGTGTCTTTTTTTTTTTTTTTACCTTCTATATTTCTTGTTTAATTCTCTAGAGTCTTTCAACAATATCCATAGCTATAATTCCCTTTACCAAAAGGAGAAATGAAAAACATAAGAGTCCCTAGCAAGTTGTGTTGATTAAAGTATTAAATACACTTTATTATAAACTTAATTTCCTTACCAAGTTATATCCAACATTTAGTCGTTGTTCATGAATTATAACTTTTTCAGATGTAAAATTTCGAAAAATTTTATGTTATATTTCATATAAAATTTCCTAATAAAATGATGAAAATTATATTGAGAAATTTGTATCGCAAAAATAATAAATGTTAATGAAATAATAGAATTTTTTTAAAAAAAAAGTGAGTTAGACGTCTTTTTTTAATACTCGCGTTTAACGTATTTTTAACTATTTTCGATATCTGTTTGGAATATTCGATATACTCATAATGTAGTTCTAGAAATAAGTTTTTAGATGATATAAGCAATTTGCAGATTCGATTAGCGTACGATCGTCAGAGAATTTTTAAAATTAGCATGTTATCGAAATTTAAATTTATTGTGATTTTGCCCCTATTTAGTGGAGATTAAAATCAATTTTTTAACAAATTTTGATAAAAGTTAAACAGTTATGGATTCCATGAAATATGTTATTAAAATTAATTGTTAACTTTGATTTAGATTAAAATTTAAATTTCAATTGATACCAAACATGACTTTAAAAACAAAAACAAAAA